CGAAAACTCTACTTTTAATGAGTAGACTTTTCTTTGTGACTATTCATTTCCTCCTTATGATGGGTTATTCTAAGCACCATGACCACTTCAGTGATCTGGAGTCTGCATGTGCAGCATTTACCTTTGAAATGATGCACATACAGAGATTAACTCCTAAGCTGTCGGAGGTGTAACTCTCCCTCCAGCAGCATTATAGGGGAAACAAAAGCCAACATGAGGTTTAATTGACACAAAACAAAAAGTAACAAACAGGGGGAAAGGTGACACCAAACACCTAACACGTTTCGAACCCACAGGTATTTAGACATAGGAGTCGAACTAGAGTTTCTGGTTGGCTAATGTCAGTTATTATTATTATTATTATTATTGGTATTTATATAGCACCAACTAATTCCGCAGCGCTTTACAATATTATGAAAGGGGGTGAAATTTACAATACATGAGACAATTACACAGTGACACAGGAACAATAGGTAGATGAGGATCCTGCTCAAATGAGCTTACAGTCTAGATGAGGTGGGGTACAAATAAACAACAGGGCAGCAAGGTTGACAGCCACCAAACAAGGTGGAAAAGTAGCAGAGCTGGAGGTGAGAGTGAAGCATGACTCTTTAGGAGAGGAATAGACAGACTTGGGTAAGTATAGATAAGTTACTCTGGGAGTAAATAAGCATTTCTGAACAGATGTGTTTTTTTTGAGGGACTTTTTAAACAATTGAAGACTAGGGGAGAGTCTGATGGGGGTAGGCAAAAGAAGTCCTGCAAGCGCGAGTTAGCAGTAAGGGTGCGAGCACCATACAGGAGAAGGTCACTGGCAGAGAGGAGAGACAGAGAAGGGGCATATCTATGAATTAGGGAAGGAATGTAAGAGGTTGGGTAGAGCTTTATAGGTAAGGGTTAGTATTTTGAATTGACACCTCTATGATACAGGAAGCCAGTGTAAGGATCGACAGAGAGGCGAGGTATGGGAGGAACGACAGGTGAGAAAGATCAGCCTGGCGGCAGCATTCATCACCAATTGTAGTAGGGCAGTTTGGCTTTAAGAGAGACCAACTAGGAATTATATTAAATGATGTGAGAGATTACCAGAGCATGAACAAACTCCTTGGCAGCATCTTGCGTGAGAAAGGGGCAGATGCGGGCAATATTTTTATGGTGGAATCGACAGGTTTTACCAACTTACTGGATATTTGGGGAAAAGGTGAGGCCAAGATCAAAGATAACACCAAGACAACAATCTTTCAAGGATGGACTGATGCAAGCACCATCAACTTGCAGGGAGAGCGAAGGAGGAGGATCAGCATTATGGGTGGGAAAAATAAGAAGCTCAGTTTTAGAGAGATTGAGTTTCAGAAAGCGGGAGGACATCCAATCAGAAATAGAAGAAAGGCAAGCAGTGACAGATTGCAGGACCGCGGGGGAGAGATCAGGGGAGGAGAGATATATCTGGGCGTCGTTGGCATGCAGATGGTAGCGGAATCCAAAGGAGATAATGAGTTTGCCAAGAGAGGAAGTATAAAGAGAGAACAGAAGGGGACCAAGAACAGATCCTTGGGGGGACTCCAACCGAGACAGGGCGAGAAGAGGAGGTGTCATTGCAAAAGGAGACACTAAACGAAAGTTGGGAGAGATAGGAGGAGAACCACGAGAGGACAGTGTCACAGAGACCGAGGGATTGAAGAGATTGAAAAGTTTGGAGAAGGAGGGCATGATTCACAGTGTCAAAGGCAGCAGAGAGGTTGAGAAGAATTAGTATGGAGTAGTGCCCTTTGGATTTAGCTGTGATTAGATCATTTGTAACTTTAATAAGAGCAGTCTCAGTAGAGTGGAGGGGGCAAAATCCAGATTGAAAAGGATCGAGGAGGGAGTTGGAATTTAGGAAGTGAGTCATATGAGTAAAGACAAGTCTATCTAGAAATTTTGAGAAAAAAGGAAGCAGGGATATGGGACGATAGTTGGAAGGGGGAAGACGGGTCTAGGGGTGGCTTTTTTAGGATGGGTACGGCAGTAGCATGCTTAAGGGGAGCAGAGACAACACCAGATGAAAGAGAGCAGTTTAGGATGTGTGATAAGGATGGTACACGACAAGGGGTGAGAGATCTGGTGGGAAGGTACTGGATCAAGCGGACAGGTGGTGGGACAAGAGGAGAGGAGAAGTGAAGCCACCTCCTGTTCTGTAGCTGGGGAGAAGGCCTGTACAGTAGGAAAGTGATGATCCATGTGTGGTTGCTAGAGGGAGGAGCAAAGGGGGGAGAATTATTTCTTTAACTGTTCAGTCTTGCCGGTAAGGTAGCATGCAAGGCTATCTGCTGAAAGGTCAGTTTGAAGGGTGGCTTGAGGTGGGCAAAAGAGAGAGTTGAAAGTATTAAAGAGACGTCTGGGATTGCGTGAGCATGAAGTAACAAGAGAGGAAGAGTAGGATTGTTTAGCAAGGGTGAGGGCTGTGCTATATAAACACAAAATGAATCAATTGAGGTGCATCTTTGGTGCGGAGCTGCAGCATCCAGGGCAGAGGTAATGGTAGCATTATATGAGGAGATAGTGTCATGTATACATCCTCTCCATATTCTATGCACAACATAAATCACCTTTCCAGGAGTAGGAGAAGTGCTGCTCGGCGGTCCTATGCTATAAGGCCGGGCTTTTGCGACATGCCAGTGGACACCGACCACTGCGGATCCACACTGTTATGAAGCCCCACGTCTGTCCATGGTGGTAGTGACGTTGACGTGTGGGTGAAGTCACGCAGAAGACGCGCGCGTTAGTTTTGGAGTTAAAGGCCAGGTATGGCCAATTGGATTCACAAGAGAGATATTTAAACTCATTCATTTCTTCTACTCATTGCTCTGTCGTAGTTCCCCTTTCCTGGTTATCTGAGCATTTGTTCTTGATTGTGTTTCTTTGGTTATTGACTTTGGCTTTGTTCTGACTTCCCTGAATTCTGTTTTCCCTGACTATTGGCTATTCCTTGCAACTGTGTTTCGTTCTGTGTTCCTGACCTCGGCTAATATTTCGACTATTCTCTGGTACGTTAAGTCCGGTCATTCTAAGGTCCAGTTAGACGTTATCTTTATTCATAAGTATGATACTAATACTGTGTGTTGGATCAATTGTATTCCTGACAGATAGCCAGAGAGGGACAGGAGAAAGTGGGGATGAATGAGAGTTTTGAATGGAGATCATCTAAGAGTTGCTGGAGGTCAAGAGAATTCAGGTCCCTTTTGAGTTGAGGGCGGTTTGGGTGATGCTGTTGGGTAAGGAGTCTTTCAAGAACAACTGATAAGAGGTTGTGATCTGAGAGAGGAAATGGAGTGTTGTGGAGTTTAGTGCATGCATTAGAAAAGATAAGATGAAGGTTATTGCCAGCTACATGTGTAGGAGTATTTACCCACTGTAATAGGCCAAGGGAGGAGGTAATAGAAAGGAGTTTGGAAGCTACTGAGGTCAGGGGTGGGTTAATGGGAATGTTGAAATCTCCAAGAATTAGGGAAGAGATATTACTTGAAAGGAAGTAGGCAAACCAAGCAGAAAAATAATCAAGTAACATACTAGGGGAACCAGGGGGGCAGAAATCCTACACCGCCACCTTTACTCTCAGTCTGTCTTGAGTTGCAGTTAAAGTGAAGACCACTAAAGGATAGTGAGGCAGGGGTAGCAGTATCAGAGGGAGAGAGCCATAGTGCAAGTCAGTTTCACTCCCCAGTGGCAGTGTATCAACCAGTCTCTCTCCCCAGCGGCAGATGGAGTTACAGGGAGAGTTGATTTTAGGTCCCTCTCCTCGGAAGCAAGCATCCCTGGGAGTGGAGATGGTCGGCCTCACTACCCAGCTCCAGGCAGCATCACAGAGAGTGGGGACAGTCTGTCTCTCTCCCCATCGGCAGATTGTGTTACCGGGAGCGGAGACAATCAGTCCTCCTCTCCAGTGGCAGAGTGCAACCCCAGCGGAAGAGCTGCAATCCGGACCGAGCAACGCTGGTCTCTGCCCACAAGTCCCGGAGGTTTTTGGCACGGGAGGTGTGGATGGAACTGTAATCGCCACATCTAGAACACAGGGATGTTGGGCGGTTGGCTCAGATCCCCAACCCCCAGCAAGGAGCGGATAGTTGTTTCATCTCCCCCTCAGCAACTATACCATAAACACCATGGGGCCTCAGGAGTGGATTCAAGCTGTTGCCTTTCCCAGAAAAACCCTGGATATACAAATTGGAGCTTAGGGCAGGAGGCCCTCTGGAGCCCTGCACTTTTTGGAAAAAGCCACCCGACTAACACCGACCCAGACCAATTGGAGATCTGGAGTACGGTTAGTCTTCTCAGGAAGGGGAAGATATGGGATGAGCACTCCTCATCCTGGACATTTGCCCCAAACTCCTGGAGGCAGGGGCGTACCTAGAGCATTTGGCACCCGGGGCGGATCCTGTGCTTGGCACCCCCCCCACGCAAAAAAAAAAAAAAAAGTAAAAAAAGGTTTTTGCAAACCAGCCCCTCCTACAAAACCTCTGTCCTGCCCCTTCTACAAATCCTGTACTGCCCCGTCTACAAAACCCCCGCAACCCCCTTCCACAAATCCCCTGCTTATCCCCCCTTATAAAGACTCCTGTCCCAATACAAAACCCCCGCCCCCTTCTACAAAATCCCTGCAGCCCCACACACACATTTACAGGCAGACAGTCACACACTCAGTTACAGGCAGACAGTCACACACAGTCACAGGCAGACAGTCACACATACACATTTCCTCCGTGCGGCCGCACGGCACCCTAACTATCATGGGACACTGTGCGGCCACAGCTCACACAGCCCCCTCCAGCCAGGGCCGGTGCAAGGATTTTTGCCGCCCTAGGCAAAAGTAAAGTTTGCCGCCCCACCCATATGATTTGCCATGTTAACTAACGCCAGTGCTGCAGTGCCGCCGTGTTTACATTAAAAGGCCTGCAGGGACAGGCTATAGACACCAGAACCACTACATTAAGCTGAAGTGGTTCTGGGGACTATAGTGTTTCTTTAATATGAGGTAAATTAGAGCTTAGTGCCACGAATAATATACTAGATTGCCTACTTACAACCAGATGAGGAGGATGATGGGCTCTAGCTGCAGTCTGGCTCCACTGGTCTGGTGCAGAACAGGCTCTCTGGAGGCGGTTTGTAAGTGTGGTCACAAAAATCAATGTTCTGGGAGAACGGGAAGCAGCTCCATTTTTTGGGGGTCCTTTACACAGCTCAAGGTCTGGGTCCCAGGGTCCACCTTCATGTTCCACCAATGAGTTTGTTCACAGGGGGTGGAGTGTGTAAGGGATGTCCTGATATGTGTGTAAGGAATGCATTGTGTTTGTATGTGTAAGGGCTGCAAGGTGTGTTTCTGTGTATGTATGGGATGCATTGAATGTGTTTAAGGGGTGCATTGAGTGTGTGTAATGAATGCATTGTGTGTTTCTGTGTGTGTAAGGGATGCATTGTGTGTAACGGTTGCATTGCTTGTGTATGTGTGTCTGTGTGAGTAATGCATTGTGTGTTTTTCTGTGTGCAAGGGGTGCATTGTGTGTATGTGATGAATGTCAATCTCTCCTCCAGCTCCAATTTCCTTCTCCTCCTCCCAATTTCTCTTTCCCCCCTCCTAATTTCTCTTTCTCACCCCCCCTCCTAATTTCTCTCTCACCCCCCTTCTCTTCCCCCCCTTTCTCACCCCCCTTTCTCCTCTCTCACCCCCCATCACCCCCCCTCCTAATTTCTCTCTCACCCCCCTTCTCTTCCCCCCCTTTCTCACCCCCTTTCTCCTCTCTCACCCCCATCACCCCCCTCACCCCTTATTTCTCTTTCTCACCACCCCCCATTTCTCCTCTCTCACCCCCCTCCTCTCTCTCTCCCCCTCGACCTCTTTCTCACCCCCCCCTCATTTCTCTTTCTCACCCACCCCCTTCTCTTTTCACCCCCTTCTTTCTCACCCCCCTTCTTTCTCACCCCACCCTTCTCTTTCTCACCCCCTTCTCTTTCTCATCCCCTCCCCCCCCTCCCTCCTTGCTGTAGCGTGGCCGAGCCCTGTATAGTGCGGGTACAGGGAGCTTTTGTCTCCTGTACCCGGCCGGACTAACAGGAAGTGCACACACTGTGTGCACTTCCTGTTAATCGGCCGGGTACAGGGCTGCTTGTACCCGCCCACCTGCTTCGGCCTCCCAGAAGAGCTGACAGGAGGAGCCCTCCTGTCAGCCCCTCTCCTCAGGCTGGCCCGGGCGGTGCGGTCCGCCCTCATGGACGCACCGCCCGGGCAAAGCTGCAGCCACCTGAGGCTCTCTACAGAGCGCTCGGGCGGCTGCAGCATGGGGGGGGGCCGGCGGGGCTGGCCATGGCACCCCCCACCCGGCTGGCACCCGGGGCGGACCGCCCCCCTCCGCCCCCCCCTTAGTACGCCACTGCCTGGAGGAGTGTGGAAGTTAGCCTCCTGTCCACCGAGTATGGGCCATATAATTTGTGCTGAAATTAATACTTTGACTTCTATTCACAAGACATTTCCCTGGTTTATTTTTAGGGTTCCTATATGTGTGGGATGTATATTTAATAGTTTATGTTTTATGATCTGTAACGCAAGTGCCTGGGGGATAATTAGGTTAAGAAAATGTCTCTTTTGGATATAATATTGAATCACAAGGGTTTCTTTTTCTTGAAAGCTGATGATCGTTACCATATCAAATGACTTCCTATCTGAGAGGCAAGCAAGACATATGGCAGATGTGAGCGTTGGTTTGTACAGAGCACAGACTTTCAGGCCACTTATGTGTGACTTCTGACACCTTACAGAATAGCTCTGTTGGAGTCCCAGCTGCTGAAGGGTCTGTGTATCATTTGGCTGTACCATGTCCCATTAAAATATTTTCCTGTTGTACTCTTCATCAAGTCTCAGATGATGTTTGGGTAACCAAGGGCTCTGATCACTGATTTACTTGGGAGTTGGGAGACATAACGGATATACTCAGGGCATCCGTTACATTGGTTACAGTTCACTGTAACTTTAGTTCCTAGCCAATGAATGGCAACTCCCGCGGATTATGGCTTCTTCAAAAGTTGCAAGCACATCCAGGTGCTCTATAAATAGGCGGGATGTTCAGCATAGTCTCCACCCACTCAGGGAGATCACACCCTCTCTCATCATAAAACAATAAATAGTTGCAGCGCACTCAGACTACAAAACAATATATAATACAAAGAAGGCTACTAAAATGCCTATCTGAGAATAAATATGGGGATTTAGTTCCACCATATGGACATATGTTGTTAAGCCCACCACTACTTTCAAAGTACCCCAATATTGGTGGGTCCTACGCTAAAAATGTGGGGGAACAAATTAAATAGTACTAGTGTTGAAAATTACAAGTGTTAAATTAAATCCTGATAAGAGCATAGTGAGTATACAAAAATGAGTGATGAAAGCAATTAAAAACAGTGTTAAAACTAAACAAATAATGTGTTAGTGCTAAAAAGAGTATACTCACTATAGCAGATGATATCTGTGCTGACTAGAGAAAATAATAAAAGTGACTAGACTACTGAGAAACTCCTCCTATTTATACACACCTGTGGCCACCTCTAAAGGAGCCTCTGAAGTTGGGGGGCCTGGGCGGGGTGCTTAACCCCTAAGGAATCTGGTCTGGATTCCAAATATAATGTATACAGAAAAAGGATAGGGGGCACTCCCAAGACCTGCATTTTGTATGAAAGGTGCTGCCGCAGTGACCAAACTTCATACATAAAACAATAAATAGTTGCAGCGCACTCAGACTACAAAACAATATATAATACAAAGAAGGCTACTAAAATGCCTATCTGAGAATAAATATGGGGATTTAGTTCCACCATATGGCCATATGTTGTTAAGCCCACCACTACTTTCAAAGTACCCCAATATTGGTGGGTCCTACGCTAAAAATGTGGGGGAACAAATTAAATAGTACTAGTGTTGAAAATTACAAGTGTTAAATTAAATCCTGATAAAAAAATAATAATAATAAAATAAAAAAAATAATATATATAATTAACTTTTTTAAACGTTTTCTTACTGATTTAGCTGAGACTAAGATTTTCACAGTTAAGTACGCCCATGGCTCGGTTAGCATAAGTAATATGAGAAACAGTGTAACATAAATATCATAAAAACAGCCAATACATTTTCAACACATTTTCTATGAAATCCTATTCCACTTTGGTTATAATGCCCACAACGCTTCATAATAAATAATATGATTTTACATGAAAAGAAATTACACTGGAGAAAATAAAAACTACCAGGAAACTTTCTAAAAGATTAAACCTAAAAAACTTCTCAAAATACTTTAATACATCAACAGTAAAATTTATACTGAAAATGCCAATTGTAGTGTGGCAGAACCGCTATTCATGAATCTTCTGTTTCTTTTACATGTGTTTTCCCTGTATTTTTATTTATTGTGCCTGCTCCGCGTTCGGGAGTGCTTCCAAGAAGGGAATTCATTCACCTCCCGAACGGGGACCACACCGATACCTCATTTAGAATGTTGGGTTAGAATGTTCCCACCTCGCAACATAAGTGTCAAACCGCAAACTGCAAGGGAAACAATTAATGAGTGATCCCCTGGGTGGCCGCCAGTTCGTTAGTCGAGCACCATTCGTGGTTGTTTCTCGACTCATTCGTTTCCTGAATGAGGAGCTCCCCGGCGCCCCATTAGAACGTTCACACCAAATAATCAGAACGTTCAAACTCGCAACATAGGTGTGAAACCGCAAAGGAAGTAATTAATGAGTGCTCCCGAAAGGAGATGCTTCCCTTGTCTGAGTTTCACACCGGGACCTTGCGAACGGGGGCTAGTCGATCGAAGGACCCTGAGATTGGTGTGGGCACTTTTGGGGCACTGGCGAGTTTCGCGGGCTTTCCTGAGCCTGCGGAACAAAGACCAGCTCTTTTCCCGCGGGCGGGCTTTTCTGTGCCTGGGAGACAAAGGGACTGTCCCTTTTTACCCGCTCTTGGGAAGAAGATCCCCTGGCGGCTGAGGTGGCAAACCCTGTGTTTTAGTGGTAGGTTTTGGAGACAAAGGGAACGGAGTTCGTTCCCGAGCTAGGGCACCGGGGACGGGGAGGATCCTGAGATGGGACCCTGTATGATTGTGTGGTAAACCCCTTGCATGGGGTTATGCATAAAAGCAGTGTGTGGCCAATACAATTGTGTTGTACCTCTAGGACTGTGTGTCGTCCAGTTACTGGGGTGGGGGGAATGGGTCTCTTTATACTCTAAATGGTATCGGACTGGCTGGGGGAAGGGAATTAGTGGAGGTAACCAGTCGGGTTACCAGGGGCTCCGCATCATGTAGTATCCAGATGACTAACAGATGAAAGGTACAAGTATCAAAACAGGGTAATTACATATTATAACATCATTGGTTATGTAGCGTGCATGAAAGGACTTATCGTAAAAATATGCTAATTCAATGCTGCTTTATGAAACTAAGTACAATTGGAAATAAAGTATGTAAAGTGATATGGTGCCAATTTTACATATATAATGTGAAATGTTGATACGAAAAGATATTATATAAAACGGAAAAGGTTCAATACAGCAAAAGCAAAAAAGTATGTGAAACATGAAAAATATAACAGGCAATGAGACTTAAATGTACGCAAGGGTTCTGGTTTCATTTCAGAAAAAGGAAAAATTTGCAGAAATAATGGTTTGGTGAAAAAATATATAGCATCTTGATATAGATATGTTATAAATATCCAATACAATACTATACGGTTTCACAGTGCATATGTTGAGATTTTCTTCTTCTTTTTTTTTTTTTTACCAATTGCCTCGTGTTCAGAAAACGGGATTTGGTTTATTTTAATTATTATATATTTATATTATTATTTGTATTACACTTTTTTTTTATTATTGTTGTTTGCTTTGCCTACTGGTTCATAGTTTACTAGATGACAAGTAATATTTTTGAGTGATAGATTGCTTAACATTTCTGCCATACTGAAATTGCATTACTCTGTTTTTCATACTTTATTATGTTTGTTAGATTGTAGGTAGACTGATAGATAACATTGGAGAAGACACAAATGGTTTTGCAGCACGTTCAGATATCTTAGAATGTGTTAACCATTTAACCATAAAATCACTGTAAATACTCATACTCCCTAAGACACATTAGGGATTTCACACATTGGAGCATTTCCCCACTCCCTCTAGCATGTAAATTCAATGAGCAGTGCCCTCAACCCCTCTGTTCCTGTGTGTTCAACTTGTCTGGTTAAAATTAAATGTATGTTAGTCCACTCATTGTACTGCGCTGCCGAATTTGTTGGCGCTTTATAAATTATAATAATAATTTCTATGCCCATCCATCTATGAGTCAGCATTCTGTCAGGCTTATGGTTGCATCAGTTGTAATAAGTGGATTTAAACTGGTACGCTGAGAAGCTCTGTGCACACTCTTGGCAAGTACATTCAAGCAATATTGTACTCACTATAACAACTTTTATATAATTTTATAGTTGTTGCGAGGAGCACTGGATTGGACCGTCATCCATTAGGCATGCCTCCGGGATGATAGCACACAGGGAGGATTGGGTGACAGCAATGAGGGAGACTGTATTTGGGT